TTTTGAAAAGGTCTGAAAGTAAGCTACAAGAATATGCAATTAAAACGAGGGAATCTCATTTCAGATTTTTATGCTGACCTTGATAACGCTTTTCAAGGTCATCACAAGGTTAAAAAATATCAGCATCATTTGTGGTTCTTAATTTACTATAACTTTTATATGAAACATTTTTTCCAAAAACGCATATTTTAGATACAATTTATCGATGTCCACAGAATTGGTGGTTTCGTCCCACTGTGCGTCCTATCAACGTTACGATCAAAGCATTTGCGGACAACTGTGTCTACGTTTCCTGCAGACAGTTAACAGCCGATTTAAGGCCCAACGATCGGTATCCAGTAATCGTTTTGGTCTCTGACGAAGATGTCGCTGACATTTACACTCACCAGCAAGAGTAGCACTCTCACGAGAAGCTACTTTCCAGCCATAGATCTGAACGATGGCGATTACGAACTCGGTTTGACAGCCTTTGAAACATATAACACGATACCAAATGTAAATGCGTCGAATAATAAATTTTACTTTGATGAGGACGACAAGGAAATTATAATTCCTGAGGGATCGTACGAATTGTATGCCATGGTACCTGAAACGTGCGATGTTGGAAACTATCAAACCGATCATTACCAATGATGATGATGATGATGATGATCTCATAGTTATTCGCGCCAATGAGAATACAATGAAGTGTGAGATCAAGTGTGTTCACCGGATCAACTTTAACAAACCAAATACCATTGCATCGCTCCTAGGATTTTCTTCAGATCGCATTCTACAGCCGCGACAATGGCACGAATCGAACGTGACAATTAAGGATATGAATATTATTCGCATAGAATGTAATGTGACCACCGGTGCGTACAGCAACGACAAATGTGTGCATACCATACACGAGTTTTCGCTTAATGTACCACCAGGATATAAAATATCGGAAACGCCAGCACAGATCATTTATCTTCCGATCTTTGCACGGAGCGTATCGGATTTGACGATACGTGTTGTGGATCGGCCGATTGCTTGATTTCCGCGGAGAAGAGATAATCGTCAGGTTGCATGTGCGGTGGCGGCGACAATAGGACACCAAAGATGCTCGTATTAAACGAAGCGAGTCAGACTAAATACGTGAGCGACATTTTTTCCACCAAGAGGACGATTATAAACAAAAAAAATAAGTAACTTAGCGCAGCCAACATTGCATTTTTAAGATCTTTGGGATTCATTGTG